TCCATTAAGGGCACTTATATTTGTTAGTTCTAAGACATGATTTTCTATCTATTTCAAAAGTAGGCAATTGAAGCGCTGAATTTGAAATCCTAATACTATTAAAACATGAATATAAATCCTAATATTGTACTACTAAAGCATGAATTATAAAATAAAAAAAATTTATAATTACACATCTATTAAGTAATAATCTCCTTATAGTAATAAAATTAGTTAGTCCTACCATTATGACTATGGAGAGGTTTTACTATAATATAAATGTATATGTACACAAAATAAATAATTCGTTCGTAAAGTTTCTTTCTATAATAATAAAATTAGTTAGCTCTACCATTATGACTATAAAGTGGTTTTCCTATAATATAAATATATATGGACACAAAATAAATAATTCGTTCGGAAAGTTTCATTTTCGATATAACCGTGACCATTCCACAGTTTGGCAAACCAACAGCACATCCCATTAAAAGAAAAAAAAAAAAAAAAAAATCCGCATCACATAAATCCATCTTCAACGTCAATCACATATTAAACACTATCCTACACCCCAATTTCAGCATTCAAACACAAGACAAGAAGTTCCAATACAGGACTATTCACATTCCAAGTGCACGCCAATATAATCTAATAAAATGACATGTTTCAATTTTTAAGTAAAATTTCCCAGCATCTCTAAATGTAATGTCCATATATGAATGTAAGTAACCCTACAGCATGTAATCACATTCTTTAGAGGCAGATCCAGTGCAACAACATCCAAAAATCATTCAGCCGAGACATGCAAGCTAGGATTTAACAAATATCACAATTAACTAACAATTTTTCATCAAAACATTATTATAATAGAACTCAATAATTTACATGCAACAGAATTTGAGATATTTAAAAGTGTCTCACTCTTCACATTCAGCCGAACCCAATCCCTATCTATAATATCACGAGAACTATACATGCAGCATATCTTCGGAACCGGATCTAATGCATTTCCAATTCCACCCAATATTGGTTCATCCCTTTTCATCTCCTTGCCGTGGCAGAACGGATAATAGGATTTTGAGTTCTTCGAGTAGATTGTCGTCGTTGGCTTCCATATCTTCAAGTGCCTTTGTTGGTAGAAGAAAGGATGTAAATCTGCAGAAAAGGCAGTCCCTCAAGGTTAAGGCAATGGCCAAGGAAGTACTGCACTTTAACCAGGATGGCGATGCTATTAAGAAGCGAAAAGTAAGTTGGCAGTGAGTAGTTGCGGTAATTCGCAGAGAAGAATCAACTTGTTTAATCATAACCTTACTAGTTCTTTCATTTCAGGCAGGTGTTAACCAGCTTGCAGATTTAGTGGGTGTCAGACTCGCTCTTGGTATGTTATTTCAGTTGTTGAAATAGAAACTGATTTGGATATTTCCATTTCAAAGGAGTGAAGCAAGTTTAATATGTCATGCAGCATTCTCAAGGAATCAAGGTCCGAAGACGATGTGCAACAGGAACATGGCAAAATGAGGTTCTTTTTACATAAACTTTCTTCACTAAATGTCACCGTATACTAAAACATTTTTTTATCTTATAACTTATTTAAATAATCATTGATTTCCATCCACAGACTTTGTATTACATAAGAGATAAAGAGAAGTTATTAGTGACAAGTCTTTGTTATATAAACTGTGGATGACACCAGTAGATAAATTGATCATTGGATTCAAATGGTTAGACAAGGTTGCTTAAAGAGTAAGTAGTTATCAGAAAAGTTTGCTTATGAAAATAAATTTAGAACTGTTATTAATATAGTATAGGAGGAATTAATTTGTAATCTTATTATAATAATTGTATTTAATTTAATGTTACAGTGTGCTTCGAAAGGATGAATTGTTTAAGACAAGGGAGTCCCAACATAACAAGCTATAGCTCTAGTTGGAGCTCTTATATGTAATTTTAGCTGATTTTTAAGTATTTTTAGAAACTTGAAAGAATATTTCTTCGAATATGTAATCAATTAGGATTTCTAACTTGAAGAATCCACTATAAGACAATTTATTTATTCTTTTAGGATTTTACGTTAGAAATTTGGTAGTAATTGTTTTTTTTTGTTTTTTTTTTTTTTTTTTTTTCAGATTCTTCAGGTGAGAATTTTGATCCAAATTTAATAAAAAATCAAGTGGTACACATTACACAATTTGAATGAGTGGTGCTATTGGTGCCCGGCTAATGGGCTAAAGAAGCTGCATTTCCTACTACAATCCATTTCAAAGTTTTAATTAATTTTTTTCTTTTTTTATGTCACCCATAAATTTCATAAATGCCCTTTATTCTATTTTTTAAAATGTTTCACTTTAATTTCCTTCACTTATGTTATATTTCCCCATCATCATTATTCTTAAAATAAAATTTTATTTTATACATTTAAGATATCTTAGGCTTCGTTTTGTTCGCTTTTGGGAATACTATTATTATTATTCCCAAAAAAGTTAAACATTAAAATGTTATTATTCCCAAAATATTATTCTATATTTTTTAATTTCTTTTAAACCTCCTAAATTTGTTAATTTAACTAAACACCCCCAAATATTTTTTTTAGAAATTGCAACAACACTCCGGCCACCCTCCAGCAGTGGTGGCCAGTTGTCCGTATTTAATGGGTGGGTTGATGGTGTTTTTGTTAACTTTTAATATTTTATTATAGGGGTGTTTAGTAAATGAACAAACATAAATGATACTTTCGTTAATTTTCAAATCCTACATCGTAATACCCGTCCAATTTAACTTTTTTCAAAAGATTATTTTAAAAACTATTAGAATAATGAACCAAACGAAGCCTTAGATATTAGTCAGCAAAATATTATAAGGCTACATTTGTGTTTGTAGACTTTATTCTCTAGTAGTTAAAGGGATAGAAAAGTTAGTAAATTTGAGGCATTTGATAAATAAGGAGACACATTCACCACTTTACATTCCAAAAGGGATGGGGCTGAACGACATACACCCATCCATAGTTTTCGGTAAAGACCACTTGGTACTCAAAAAGTTTGGAAATGACAAACAACCACTTTCCGTCAGAATTTGTTAGTGAATTCCGTTTGAAGAAGGATAATGTGGTAATTTTGCATTTCTAAAAAAGAAGGCCACCTTCCTCTCTTTTTCTTCTTTCTTTTTCTTTTCTTCGAACGTTTCTCACTACCGTGCCGCCTCCAAATACACCAAGGAGTTCACCTCCACCACCACCAGTATTTACTCCACCAACAAATTCCTCTCCTCCACCACCAGTGGCCAATCCACCAAGAAGTCTTCCTCCACTATCAAATTCATCTCTATCACCACCATCGGATAACTTATTAGAAGTTAGTTAGACTACAATATCAAAACCCTCTCTCTACCGTCTGTGAATCGCAAAATCAAAACTTTCTTCAAAACTTTGTTCACTTATCTCTTTGTATTTCTTACTACACTTAAATGCCTGTACATGTCTACACCATCATTTCAATCATGTATTCAAAACTACAGACGGCATCTTTTTTTATCTCTCTTCACCACACGATTTGCTTAACGGTTTCTTGCTCATGTTTGGGATTGAAGAGCTTTTTGGAATTGTTGTGAATAATGCATACAAAGCTTTTGCAACCTTTTGAATTCTCTAGAAAGAGTTTTAATCTTGAGATGTATTCCGACAATATGATGTGAAAGAGAGGTTAATTAAAAAATTAAGAGTAAATACCTAGGCAACTCAGTCGTAGTTTTTCATATTCAACGGCAAAAAGAAATGGCTGAATGACTGGCCAGATCCGCAAAAGAAGAAAAAGGAGAAGCGGCTGGCAAGATCTTCAAAAGAGAAGAAAAAATTGAAGAGGAAGAGGAGAAGAAAGAAAAAAAAAAAAAAAGAGAGAAAAGAGAAAAGAGGGGGGGAAATTCTGCTGCTTTCTTTGGAGGTGGCACAACAGTAAAAAGAAAAATGTGAAGAAAATAAAAGGAAAGAAGAAAAGAGAGGAAAGTGGCCCAAAATTACCACTCTGTCCTTCTTCAAACGGAATTCACTAACAGATTCTAACGGAGAGTGGCTATTTGTCATTTCCTTACTTTTTGGGTATCACATTGTCTTTCTGACAAAGTATGGGTGGGTGCATGTCTTTCGGCCAAAGGGATGGAGGAATTAAGGTGGTGATGTTCATCATGACAGCAAAGCACTTTTCTCTTGCTCAAATTGTAAGGCTCCGTTTGGTTCATATTTTTACGTTTTTAGAAAATTTAAAAAAAAAAAAGTTGAATTGGACGGGTATTACAATGTAATATTTACAAATTTAAAATACCCCCTATGTTTATTTTTTTACAAAACACCCCTATAATAAAATATTAAAAGTTAACAAAAACACCCCTAACCCACCCATCAAATACGGACAGCCGGCCACCACCGCCGAAGGGTGGCCGGAGTCGCCGTATCGACATATGACCGGCTGGATCTTACCGGTCGTGCTTCGATATGGCCTTTTTCGGCCAGATCCACGGTGGATCTAGCTAGCAAAGGCTAGATCTACGGCTAGATCTAGCTGTAGATCTTCATCAATGACGAACAAAGATACGGCCGTCGTTGATGGTCAACGATGACCATATGTTGGTCGTTGTTGACGACAGGTTACAGCCACGTCCAGATCTTTGGTCTTAAATCTGGCATTTTTCGGTCAGATCCACCGTGGATCTGGTCAGAAAAGGCTAGATCGGCACACTTTCGGCAAGATCCAGCTGGTAGTGTGCTATCCTACCAGATTCAGGCCAACTTTCGACAGTGGTGGCTGGAATCTGGTATAATGTGGGTTTAGGGGTGTTTTTATAATTTTAAAAAAATATTTAGGGGTATTTAATTAAATTAATAAATTTAGAAAGTTTAAAAAAAAATTGAATAATATTGTAAGCTTTTTGATATTTTACTATTTAACTTTATTGGGTATACTAAAAGTAGTATTTCCATACTTGAGCCAAACGAAGCCTTACCCTTGGGAAAATTACCATCCCTTGAAGAACTATCCATATCTTGGATGTACAAATTGGATGGTGAATTTTGGGGAATTGAAACTGGAGCCTCTTCATCATCTTCATGCTCTGGTTTCTTTCCCAAATTGAAACAACTCCAATTTTTGTATTTAGCCAAATGGGAAGAGTGGACTTACGATAATACAAAGAAGGGAGAAGAAGAAGAACATATTAGATTCATGCCCTTGCTTGCTAAAGGCACTCCCAGACAGCCTTCTCCAGAGGACCACACTCAAGGAATTGAAAATCGATTTTTCTCGTATTCTAGAAGATCGATACTTTGAGGGAATAGGAGAGGACTGGCCCAAGACATTGAAATTGGTTATAAATGGGACAAACGGTGGCAGTAACTATCAACCCACAAGCCAAAGGTAATTACTTATGTATATATATGATCTTTGTTTAATCAAATTACCTGTTGCATTAGTGTTTGGAGCAATAGTACAAACTTATCTTTTGAATTTCTGGATTAATATTCAAACACTTCAATTTCTTATTATTTTAATTTACTTATTGAAAATGCTAGGTTTGCTGGGTATGATTAATTCTGCTAGAAACTTTATTACTATTTCGAATTTGAAGTTCAATGTGGTCGATTGTTGATTATATATGTTACAATTTCTACAGGTTAAAAGAAATTTGGTATTCACAAGCATCCAATGACTTTTCTGGGGCGATGCATGTCTAAAATTTGAAACCAGGTGATTGGCTATTCGCTTTCCATATATTCTTTAGTCCTTCCCCTGATATCTATATTTCTATTTTCTTTTTGTTTTTTATACCTCTCTTGAAAGGTAAATTTTATTGATGATAGGCATTATCAATATTTTCTGTCATTTCGAATTTAATTGTAATTATCACTAAATATGTTACAGTTTTAGATTCATTTCAAAGGCACATAAATTTACTTGTTCAAGTATTGGCTTTAATGCTTTGTGGCTTGCTTCAGAGAGTGGCTGGATTCCGCCATCTATCGAAGAGAATGATAAAGGTCTTTGGGAAGTTTGATAGTATTATCTTCATCAGTTATTCTTTTTTCTCAAAATTGAAATATCTCCAATGATGAGATTAGAAGGATGGAAGAAGGAAAAGAAGAATTACAATCAGGACATATCTTCATTCCGTACAACTAGATGCTGACAATACTGTCAGGGTGCCTTCTCCATAGGACAACTCAGAAACCATGCAGGTATTACATTGGACCATGGTCTCCAATTTATGCATACTTTTTATCACTCCAGATTTCAATGCTAACAATCTTGATTAATGTTACTGGGGTAGACTCATTTCAGCAGCACATATATTAAGTTGTTGAAGTGCTATAATGTTTTGTGGTCTACAACAGATAGAAGATCAAAATGTGACAAGCCGAAGAAGATAAAAAGATTTGAAGTCATTTTATGCAATTTAACATATTTTGAGGTCTGGTTTAGTTCTCTGTAAGCTTTCCATTTTACCTAATTTTTCTCTGGATAATGTACTTGCAGTCATCTCAAAATAACAACCTGGATTTTCAGACCAGTCAAAAGCAGTTACAACAGGGAACTTGAAGCTTCATAATGTCCATAATTTAGTTTTGATGCAGTGAACCAAGGTTTATATGTCATTAAATATTTCTCGACGAATGAAGATCATAAGACCATGTATGACAGGAGCTTGGCATTTTGAGGTTCTTTTTAATTCATTCTTTGTATTTTTATTTTTCTTTTTTGGCTTTACAAATAGTTACCTATTTAAACCAAGCATCCAATTTTATCTACAGAGCTCTTATCATGCTGGGCAAGATTGACAGAGGCAATTCACCTTGAAATATACAACAGAACCTCTGTACTTACTTCTTTAAGGNTGTCCATAATTTAGTTTTGATGCAGTGAACCAAGGTTTATATGTCATTAAATATTTCTCGACGAATGAAGATCATAAGACCATGTATGACAGGAGCTTGGCATTTTGAGGTTCTTTTTACTTCATTCTTTGTATTTTTATTTTTCTTTTTTGGCTTTACAAATAGTTTCCTATTTAAACCAAGCATCCAATTTTATCTACAGAGCTCTTATCATGCTGGGCAAGATTGACAGAGGCAATTCACCTTGAAATATACAACAGAACCTCTGTACTTACTTCTTTAGGGTTGCAAACCCACTTTTCATAGATTATTATCTGTTTTAGTTATTAACTGCAATTATTAATATTAGGACCTCGAACTTTATGTTCAACGCTTCAACTTTCAGCCCTAAAAAAATTTTTTTTTTTTTTTTTGTCTCAGTGTAGTTTCATGCACAACTGCAGAGGAAGAGATGATTAGGCTTCTTACAAAAGAAGTCCCAAATACACGAACATGGTTACGACAGTCCCAGCACTGATAGCCATTAGAACCTTAATTATCCATCCTGATCCTGAAAAATGTGGAAAGTTTTCCCATGTCGCAGCAACGGAAGAAGTAGCCATGAATGATTCAGCCACTCACATGACCTTGTGAGTAATCATCAACATTTAATAATTTGTTTTCCTTGAAAGGGGATAATGCTGAGCAGAACAATGACAATGCAGGAGGATGTGAAAAATGCAATGTTGTTTCTTACTGTAAAGAACTTAAAAGCCGTTGTTCTGCAAACTGTTGAATTCCTTTTCAACCAACCCTCCTGGAAGGCTGCATCAGGAAGGTTTATGCCAGCAGTAAAAGTAACTGCGACAATCAAACTTGCCACCATTATAATTGAGCTCTGGGCATTTTGAAGCGCTTTTTGTATATCTCATATTGCCTTTGCTTTCTCTGGCAAATTTTGAAAATTTCGTTCAGTTCTCTCGTGTCTATCACTCAGGGTCCTGAATTCTTTCAGATTGCACAAATCTTTTGCTTCTGTCAAGGTGACTGATTCTAATTGCTTATTGCCTTAAATTTCTGGTTTTTGTAGGGATGGAAGCTCAAGTAAATCCTCTGTTCACATTAGTTCCATGATTGATGTAGGCAAGAAACCAAAACATTTGTTGACATGCTTGTGTCAAGGCCAGGTGGGGCGCATATCCTGTTTTTGCTTCTGGATCTGTGGTTTTTTTATGGTACTGTCATGACTATCATATTTTTATTTAATTTGACACTGGCTGGAGTCTTTTACTAGATTTTGCTGACATTCTTGAGCTTGATGTAGGCACAACTTCTGCCTGCTGGCAAAGTTGGAAGTCTAAGGGCAGTTCACACTGTTGCCCATATCAATCCTTTGGAGTTTTGAAGTATCAGCTATTGAGAATGTATTTCTGAGACCACTGGTGATCGAATTAACAATTCTGTGCTTGTTTTACAAGCAGCTGTCTTTAAGACTTTCTTGAACTGGTTGCTTTCTGCATCACTTCTAGCACCGTATGTCCCTCACAATAGCAGCAATTGATGTTCTCTGTTGCTTTATCAAAAATTTATACTGCTAACTGAATTAAATTTGAAATAGACATCATTCAGATAGTACAATTAAAATCAATGCGAGCGCAAACCATTTTGTTCTTTATCTGCAGTCTTGAAACTTTTCCACTTAAATTTTACAGCAAAATGACACAGTTTCTTCCTCATGTTAGGTACTCCTTTAAGGCGGAGAACTTAACAAGAATAATCATCAAGGATTGGAACTCTGCCATGCATGGCTGCAAAGTGCAATAGGGTGTAACCTTTCTCATTGTATTTCAGAGCAAGGTCTTGGTGAACCCTTAAAAACAATCTAGTTATCTTCAAGAGTCCTCTGCTACAGGCACAGTGCAATGGAGAGAATATCCAGTCTTGTTGGTTTTTTTAGCAGCACCTCCAATATGCTCTGAACAACTTCTGCGTTATAAGCCATGTTTCTTCTAGACTTTAAGAATGAGATTTGATTTTTACTTGTGTTCCCCATTGATGTGGCAACATATAGAGCAGTTAAATCATCCTCATCCTTTTTAGAGTCCATCAACAAGGATTGATTCATCATGAGCTTCACCACATCAAATGCCATTTTTATCCAGGCAATGGAAATTGCACCTCCATTTTCATAGTTAAGCTTTGTAGCCATCCATGGATTAGTCTCCAAGAGCAGCATTACCACATTTGCTTTCCCTTGATGACAAGCTTCGTGCAATGGAGTCTCAAGCTTCTTGTTCACAGTTGCAACAATTTGAAGCGCCTGAACCTTGAGGCAAGGTACAACACCATGTTCAAGTGATAATCAGAATTTTTTTTTTATTTTTTTTTTTCCTGTGTGTGTGTGTACCAGAATCTTTGTCTTAACAGAATTGTCAAAGACACCTCTATCATTGTTGGCAATTTCCTGGAAAGCCTTGAATCCATTTCCTTCTTTTTAATTGCCTCTGCTACTAATAATTCAAGAAACTGTACAAATCTTGTAAAGTGAAGTAATGTTGAAGAAGTTATCACAGTGTTAATTATCCTCTTTTTGTGTTCTTATGTCAATCCATTGATGAGGTGTACTTTATACTCAACTTTGAACTGAAAGTATCCTCTTCTTTGATTCTTCATGGAATTCATTAGGTTATTTCCTGGAACCTTTCTTCTTAACAAATTAATTCTTGCAGTGGTGAAGAAGCAAATATTATTTTGTAAGGACAGTGAACAAACACTCTATAAGACATAGTGAATGAGTTAACATTATACAGAAATTGATAATTATCAGAAAACACCTTATTAATTTATATGAATCATATGTGAATGGAGTATTTTGAAGAGTTAAGAAATTGCTTGGATTGTTTTTGCAAGCCGAAATAGTCTCAAAATCACCTAATCATTTGATGGGCTGAAATGCTTTCGCAAGTCCAGTCCACACTTCAATTCTTTTATTTTCGTCCAAAAGTTTCAGGGCTAACGTATTTAAGTTTCTTGTGAATGCAGTTGAAATTGGAAAGTTTATCAATCAAAATATCTGAGTTCATCTTTCTCTCCTCATAATTTCGAGACAGGGTTACTTTTTGAAAACCAAGCATCAAATTTCATCTACAGAGTCGTTATCATGCTGCACAAGATAGACAGGAGCAATGTGCCGTGGAATATATAACATAACCTCCGTCCTTAAGGTTGCAAACCCACTTTTCACAAATTATTATTTGTCTGATTTAGTTTTTAAGTGCAATTGTCGTTATTAAGACATGGAACTTTATATTCAAAGCTTAAACTTTCAGCCCCTAAACAAATATTTCTCGTCTCACTGCAGATACTTGCACGTCATAGGGGAGAATGTGATTAGGTTTACAGATTTCGTTCTAAATGATGGTACTTACAATTGGAGAACAGTGCCAGGAAGCAAACCAACAATCATATACCAGTTAGTTATGCTTGGTAACTTCTCTCTATTCTTCGTTCTTTTATTTATGCTTAGTTGAAAAGCATATAACAGAAGATTTTGACTGGTTAAATTATTCAATAATGCTACAAGTGCTAATTATGCTGATATGTGCTTGCTTTTAGAGGCATGTAAGTTTGCTGTTTCTTTCTATTGTAGTAATTGTTTATTTATAGTATTGATTTAACTCTGGAAGCAAGATATGTTTCTTAATGATTTGTTACTATGTTTACTTGCAACAAATTTCTCTCTACTTGTATACGTAAATATCTAGTAGGAATTTTCGAGCTTGAATTTTTATTGAAAAGCTAATTCTATAACCGAATGGTGAATGAAAAACTTTAATGTGATAAATGTGCAAGATTTGCAACTTGCATTTTTCATGCTTCATTTGTCATTAGCTCTGACTGAACACTTAAGAGTGGAACTTTAAGCCACCTAGCCTCTAAGTTTAACATTTTGCTCTAGCGTTATTTCTATTCTTTTAAACTTTTTCAATATTCGTTAAATCAGTACCTGTAGCTAAATTCTAGGCAATATTGAAGAACTGAAGAATCTAATTCTGAAATGTTTTGCTCGTAAATATTGGCATAGCAGTTAACAGAAGTATTTAATATGTTTGATACACGATATTCGCCCTTCTCCATATAAAAAGAAAAGAAAGACTTGACATTATTCTTTGTGGATTTAAAATTTTCAATATGCATGATATCCTAATGAGGTGGAACTGTCAACATCTGAGATGGTTTGGGAGTGAAGAGCTTTTTGGAATTGTTGTGAATAATGCATACAAAGCTTTTGCAACCTTTTGAATTCTCTAGAAAGTTTTAATCTTGAGATGTATCTGACAATGATGTGAAAGAGAGGTAATTAAAAAATTAAGAGTAATACCTAGGCAACTCAGTGTAGTTTTTCATATTCAACGGCGAAAAGAATTGGCTGAATCACTGGCCGAATCCGCAAAGAGAAAAAGGAGAAGCGGCTGGCAGATCTTCAAAAGAGAAGAAAATTGAAGAGGAAGAGGACAAGAAAAAAAAAAAAGAAGAGAGAAAAGAAAGAGGGGGGGAGGGAGAGGGTTTGCTGCTTTCTTTGGAGGTGCACCCAGTAAAAAGAAAAATTGTGAAGAAAATAAAAGGAAAGAAAAGAGAGGAAAGTGGCCCAAATACCACTCTGTCCTTCTTCAAACGGAATTCACTAACAGATTCTAACGGAGAGTGGCTATTTGTCATTTCCTTACTTTTTGGGTATCACACTTTCGGACAAAGTATGGGTGGTGTGCATGTCTTTCGGCCAAAGGGATGGAGGAATTAAGTGGTGATGTTCATCATGACAGCAAAGCACTTTTCCCTTGCTCAAATTGTAAGGCTCCGTTTGGGTTCATATTTTTACGTTTTTGGAAAAATTTTAAAAAAAATAAAATTAGATGGGTATTACTATAATATTTACAAATTAATAAAATACCCCATATTTTGTTTTTTAAAAAACACTCATATAATAAAATTAAAAGTTAACAAAACACCCCTAATCCACCACCATCAAATACGAACAGCTGGCCATCACCCCGCCGAAGATAGGCTCAGTCGCCGTTTGACATATGCCGGTTGATCTTGCCGGTTGTGCTTCGATATGGCCTTTTTCGTGGATCTGGCCAGAAAAAACTAGATCGACGTACTACCGATAGACCAGTTGATAGTGTGACTCTATCCTAGCACAGATTTTGGCCAACTTTACGATGTGTGGTCGGAATCTATTATATATGGGTTTAGAGGTGTTTTTAAATTTAAAAAAATATTTAGAGATATTAATTAATTAACAATTTTAAAGGTGTTTAAAAAAATTGAATAATATTATGAGTTTTTTTTGTATTTTACTGTTTACTTTATTCCCAAACTTGAGCCAAAACAAGCCTTTACCATCCCTTGAAGAACTATCCATATCTTGGAGGTACAATTGGATGGTGATTTTGGGGAATTGAAACTGGACCTCTTCATCATCTTCATGCTCTGGTTTCTTTCCCAAATTGAAACACTCCAATTTTTGTATTTAGCCAAATGGGAAGAGTGGACTTACGATAATACAAAGAAGGGAGAAGAAGAAGAACATATTAGATTCATGCCCTTTGCTTGCTAAAGGCACTCCCAGACACCTTCTCCAGAGGACCACACCAAGGAATTGAAAATCGATTTTTCTCGTATTCTAGAAGATCGATACTTTGAGGGAATAGGAGAGGACTGGCCCAAGACATTGAAATTGGTTATAAATGGACAAACGGTGGCAGTAACTATCAACCACACAGCCAAGATAATTACTTATGTATATATATGATCTTTGTTTAATCAAATTACATGTTGCATTAGTGTTTGGAGCAATAGTAACAACTTCTTTTGAATTCGGGATTAATATTCAACACTTCAATTTCTTATTATTTTAATTTACTTATTGAAAATGCTAGGTTTGTCGGGGTTGATTAATTCTGCTAGAAACTTTATTACTATTTCGAATTTGAAGTTCAATGTGGTCGATTGTTGATTATATTGTTACAATTTACAGGTTAAAGAAATTTGTATTCACAACGCATCCAATGACTTTTCTGGATGTCTCAAAATTTGAAACCAGGTGATTGGCATTCGCTTTCCATATATTCTTTAGTCCTTCCCCTGATATCTATATTTCTATTTTCTTTTTGTTTTTTATACCTCTCTTGAAAGGTAAATTTTATTGATGATAGGCATTATCAATATTTTCTGTCATTTCGAATTTAATTGTAATTATCACTAAATATGTTACAGTTTTAGATTCATTTCAAAGGCACATAAATTTACTTGTTCAAGTATTGCTTTAATGCTTGTGTTGCTTGCAGAGAGTGGTCTGGATCCGCCATCTATCGAAGAGAATGAAAAGGTCTTTGGAGTTTGATAGTATTACTTCATCAGTTATTCTTTTTTCTCAAAATTGAAATATCTCCAATGATGAGATTAGAAGGATGGAAGAAGGAAAAGAAGATTACAATCAGGACATATCTTCATTCCGTACAACTAGCTGCAATACTTCGCAGGGTGCCTTCTCCATAGGACAACTCAGAAACCATGCAGGTATACATTGGACCATGGTCTCCAATTTATGCATACTTTTTATCACTCCAGATTTCAATGCTAACAATCTTGATTAATGTTACTGGGTAGACTCATTTCAGCACACATATATTAAGTTGTTGAAGTGCTATAATGTTTTGTGGTCTAACACAGATAGAAATCAAAATGTGACAAGCCGAAGAAGATAAAAGATTTGAAGTCATTTTATGCAATTTAACATATTTTGAGTCTGGTTTAGTTCTCTGTAAGCTTTCCATTTTACCTAATTTTTCTCTGGATAATGTACTTGCAGTCATCTCAAAATAACAACCTGGATTTTCAGACCAGCAAAGCAGTTACAACAGGGAACTTGAAGCTTCATAATGTCCTAATTTATGTTTGATGCAGTGAACCAGGTTATATTGTCATTAAATATTTCTCGACAATGAGATCATAAGACCATGTATACAGAAGCTTGGCATTTTGAGGTTCTTTTTATTCATCTTTGTATTTTATTTTTTTTTCTTTTTCTTACAAGTATTTATTTTCTGTTATTTAAACCAAGCATCCAATTTATCTACATTAAAGCTCTTATCACTCATAGGGACGTTCAAATTGATTCAGACTCTTAGGTTGCAAACCCACTTTTCATAGATTATTATCTGTTTTAGTTATAACTGCAATTATAATATTAGGACCTCAACTTTATGTTCAACGCTTCAACTTTCACCCTAAAAAACAATTTTTTTTTTTTTTTTTTCTGTTTCTTTCAGGAGAGATGATTAGCTTCTTACAAAAGAAGTCCCAAATACCGAACATGGTACGACAGTCCCAGCATGATAGCCATTAGAACCTTAATTATCCATCCTGACCTGAAAAATGTGAATGTTTTCCCATGTCGCAGCAACGGAAGAAGTAGCCATGAATGATTCAGCCACTCACATGACCTTGTGAGTAACATCAACATTTAATAATTTTTCCTTGAAAGGGGATAAGCTGAGCAAACAATGACAATGCAGGAGGATGTGAAAAATGCAATGTTGTTTCTTACTGTAAAGAACTTAAACTAAAGCCGTTGTTCTGCAAACTGTTGAATTCCTTTTCAACCAACCCTCCTGGAAGGCTGCACAGGAAGGTTTATGCCAGCAGTAAAAGTAACTGCGACAATCAAACTTGCCACCATATATTTGAGCTCTGGGCATTTTGAAGCGCTTTTTGTATATCTCATATTGCCTTGCTTTCTCTGGCAAATTTTGAAAATTTCGTTCAGTTCTCTCTGTGCTTCATCAGGGTCCTGAGTTCTTTCAGATTGCACAAATCTTTTGCTCTGTCAAGGTGACTGATTCTAATTGCTTATTGTCTAAATTTCTGGTTTTTGTAGGGATGGAAGCTCAAGTAAATCCTCGTTCACATTGGTTCCATGATTGATGTAGGCAAGAAACCAAAACTTTGTTGACGTGCTGTGTCGAGGCCAGTGGGGCGCATATCCTGTTTTTGCTTCTGGATCTGTGGTTTTTTTATGGTACTGTCATGACTATCATATTTTTATTTAATTTGACACTCTGGAGTCTTTTACTAGATTTTGCTGACATTCTTGAGCTTGATGTAGGCCAAACTTCTGCCTGCTGGCAAAGTTGGAAGTCTAAGGGCAGTTCACACTGTTGCCCATATCAATCCTTTGGAGTTTTGAAGTATCAGCTATTGAGAATGTATTTCTGAGACCACTGGTGATCGAATTAACAATTCTGTGCTTGTTTTACAAGCAGCTGTCTTTAAGACTTTCTTGAACTGGTTGCTTTCTGCATCACTTCTAGCACTTATGTCCCTCACAATAGCAGCAATTGATGTTCTCTGTTGTTTATCAAAAATTTATACTGCTAACTGAATTAAATTTGAATAGACATCTTCAGATAGTACAATTAAAA